TTTTTTTTTAATAATAATAAAAATTTATAGAAAATAGATAAAATTTTTTGTCTTTAAAAAAAAAAAAAAGAAAAAGAAAAAAAAAAAAGAAGAAGATTTTGTATTTAAGAAATATTAAAATTTTAACATTCAATACATATTCATTTAAAATAACGAGGTAGAAAAAATCAATGGAACAAAAAAAAAAAAAAAAAAAAAAAAAGAAGGAAAAATTTGGATAAAAATGTTCTGAATAAAAAATCATAAAAATTTAATAATTTAGACTAGGTTATTCATGTAAATTAAAACAAGAAAAATTGCATAAAAAAAAAAATAAAATTCAAAAATAAAAAAATTCTTTTGAATAAAAAAAAATGTGATTTTTTTAAAAAAATTTTCTAAAGATTTTATAAGAATAAAAAATGGTTTAAAAAAATGCAATTAAATCAACGAAAACTCAAAAGAAGAAAAAAAAAAAAATCATAAAAAGAAAAAAAATTTTGAAATGAAAAAAAAAAAAAATATATAAAGGTTTAAAAAAAAAAAAAAAAAAAAAAAAAAAAAAAAAAATAAAAAAATATGAAAAAAAATTTGAAAAAATTAAAAAAAAAAATAAAAAAAAAAAAAAAAAAAAAAAAATAAATGTATAAAAAATTTACATTTTGAAAAATATGAATTAAAACAAATATTTATGCTAAAATATATTTTTTTATATTAAAAGTATATATATTTATTTAAAAATATAGAAGAAGAAGAAAAAGAAGAAATATTTTTTCAAAAAAAAAAAAAAATTTTATGAAAAAAATTTCCATATAAACATTTTTAAATATCTTTTATATATAAAAAGAAGTTATAATAAAAGAATTTTTAAAATATTTGAATATACTTTGAATGAATCAGAAAAACAATAGGATAATGGCATAAAAAATTAGGAAAAAATAATTATAATTAAATAATCAACAGATTAAATAGAAATTGTTATTAAAGAAAAAAAAAAAAAATTTGCTCTTGAATATTCCTATTTTTAAAAAATCTTTTAAAGATAATATATATATATTATAATAATAATAATAATAATAATAATTGCGGAAATTAGGTTTTTCATTAAAGATTTTTTTCAAAATAATTTCCAAATTAAAATGTGTGATATTGTAAAACAAATGAACGTTTACTTTGTAATATTATTATAAATATCAATATTTTTATTTAAATAATAATCCTTAAAATGTATTTTACTTTTGAAAAAATAATTAAAAACATTATTATTCCAAAAGTTTTTCGAAAAAATTTTGTTTTTTCATTTATTTTTCTTCGAAATTTATCTTTATTTAAACGAATTTTCGACGCAATACAAAAAAAATCCAATGCAAGATGTCCGGATGCAAAATTTTTTTAAAAAACATTTGTTTTGCCCCAAATTTTTTTTTCTTATTTTTATATCCATAAAAATATTTTTATAATCTTGTAAAATCATTTTATTTGGAACACCTATAATATTTTTATGGAATATAAAATTAAATATAATGATGGAATCAATAAAATTGCATATGGATAAATGATTTAATTTTTTTATAAAAAACTAAAACAAAAAAATTGACCACAAATTTTTTTGAAATAACAACTTTTAAATATTAGAATATTTTTGGAAGGAGTAAGATAATAGAATTTTTATAATAAAATTAACATTTTATTGACATCGAGAAAAAATGAAATGACAGAATTTTTTTTAGGAATCAGACATTTAAATTACTTGAATTGTAATTAATATATTGTAAGATAAAAAATAATATATATATATAAATTTTATAAAAAAAATAAAAATATTTGATAATATAATATAATAATAATTTATAATAATATTAAATATATAATAATAATATAAATAATAATATATATATAATAATAATATAAATATAATAATAATAAAAACATAATATAACTAATAATAACTAATAATTCGATAATATAATATAAAATAATAATATATGATAATAAAAATAATTAAAATAATAATTAAAAAATATAATAATATAATATATTAATAATTAATAAATCCTTATAATAATAATAAATAATATAATAATAAAATAATAATAAATAAAAATATAATTACAATAATGAAAATATAATAAAATAATAATAATAAGCATAATTGATTTTAAAAGATCTATAATTATATTATTTAAAATTTATAAAATAATAATAAAATATAATAATAAATAAATATAATAAAATATAATTTTAATAAATATATTAAAATAATAAAAAATTTAATATAAAAAATACATAATTTCACTATAATATAAAATATATTAAATAATAAAATATAATATAATAAAAATATAATATTTTAAAAAAATAATGTAAAAAATTAAATAATATATTTTGATTTAATATTATAAAATAATATAATTTAAATATAATATAATAACACTATAATAAAAAAAAGAGACATAATAATAAATAATAATAAAGATAATATCATAATAGAATATATTTTTTAATATAAAATAATAATATA